TGTAAATACTTGAAGATGATGAGGTTGAGAGAGTAAAAATGCCATTTTCGAAAAAAAATTCAAAAAACATATAAATGGCATTTTCGTAAATAAAATGAAGATGTGGGGTGAATAGGACAAAAACAAGATGAGTCAAAAGAAGAGGTTAGTTTTGTGTTTGACTTGGAGTTTTGAGTCAAATTTGCAAAAAGCCCTACTTCAATCGTGTCCCCATATTAATATTATTGAAACCTGAATTTCTTAATAGCAAGAAAAAAATATGTATAATATATTTAGATGTAATTCTATACGTTCGTTATAACCTGTAATTATTAATTCTTTTCTCAGAAAAGGAAATAGGAGAAAAAAATGAGAGAATGATGAAAATGCCGCACAAGTCCTTCATTGGATTCCCTCCGAAAATGATATCGTGCTCCGACACTTTGGCCTATGCCTTGAACATATAATTCTTCTTTCTTCACTAGCTAGATTCATTTTTATATATTTAGTGCAGCACAAGTTAACAAGGTAATTTATTTTGTTTTTTATCTTTGAATTATATCTATAAACTTTTGGTATGCATATTATTCTCCATCCACTATTTTTGCTTATATCAACTTTTTATTTTTATTGAATTTAACACATTTTTTAAACTCGGATCAAAAGTTTTGAATTTTAGGTATCAATCTGATAAAAGTGGTGTCATTTCATGACTTTTTCATGTACCCAATCTAAACTACCATATATTCCAGAAGTAATTTTTTCAGTGGAATTTGTTTTCTACTAAGATTATGATAAAACGAATTGAGCAAAATCAAAACAGTATATTAGCTCAAAGCCTCAAACCAAAATACAAGCAAAACTGCAAAGGTAACAAGCCCGAAGTGTTCGCAAGCTTCATTCATTTACAGAAACATAGCAACAGTTACAATATATATCTAAATAAAAAAACAGATAGGGTATTTGATTAATTATACCCTACCACAAAATCAAAGTTATCCAACCCAATAAAAAGAACCAAAGAGTTGGAAAAGCAAGATACGTAAAGAAGAAGCAAAACATCACACTACACACTCTTAATCTACCTTCAGTTATTGTATTTTGATACAAACTATAGAAGCTTAGATTGATCACACCTTGATAATAAGTTAATAACCACAAAACCCTAGTTATAAAACTTAACTTATTTATCGATTTGTTGACCATGATTATAACCAAGTGCCATAACAAAGAAGAGTTCTACATCTGGAGGAGCAAAGAAAGAGATTTGTCTCCTCCTCAAAGCAAAATTTTGCGCCACCCTTTGCTTCTTCGGCGCTGGTGGACACTTTAGCACCTCCGGTATTCGTGACTTCTTTGACTTCGGAGTACAACATCCATTGGCTATAATCGGCGACGTTGACGTGGCGGTTGAGGATATTGAAGTAGCTGATGACGTCGAAGTGACGTCACTATTGATACTACATGGAGAAGATAGGTTCTTGATTCTTTTTCCTCTTCTTGTAGTTGTTCCTCTCGTTGGTTTCTTTCCTTTTGATGCCATTTTTAAGACTAAGTTAATAGAGAAGAGAAGGGAGAGAGCAAGAGAAAGATAAGAAAGTGTGTGAATATATATATATATATATATATATATATGAGGAGTATGTATATGCATAAACCTTAGTGGAGGTTTTAATTTAAAGCTCTTAAATTTTGACTGAAGAAAGGTTATCAAGGAAGAAGAAAAAGCCAAGAAAGAAAAAGTTGAGAAAAAGAAAGAAGAGATTGGTATTTGGAAAACCAAAAAGGAGTTTCTTTTTGGTAGAGGATCAATGCATGTAAAAGTTGTAGTGTGAAATGGGTACGATTTATTTTACTTGAATATTCATAAAATAAATGTTTTAGGACTATCTCGTCAATTGAGGGAAGTTTTTATAGTGTAGTACTCAGTTTTAATTTAAATATTATTTTAAATTTTTACATACCAATTAAAAAAATATTTTATTATATATATTTTCAAAATAAAAATATCATTATCTATAAATCTAATCTCATTTCAACTAATGAAAAATAGAATAACATATTAAACTAACTAGTTTTACATTAAAATCATAACATAATATTTATTTTAAAACAAAAATTTTATTCTATAACTACAAATAATTAAATTGTAAAAGAAAGAACTAATGGAATAATTAAGAAGAATTTGGTTCATAATGCATTATGTTATGGACTTATGGAGTAATGCATTTTTTGTTTGTTCATAATTGCATTTTTATTTTATTTTACAGTAATGTTGGAGATGGTCTAGTTATTAACAATATAGCATTGATCGTTAAAAGCAAAATTGATTTTCCCGATGTGAATGAGTTTGTGTTAAGAAATACTTCGTCGTTAAAAAATTACTTGTGATGTTTTAAAATAAAGATATTATTTTTATTTTTTTAAAGACAATATTTTGGGCTGTCCCAGAGTAAGGTAAAGCAACTAAAGAAATAGAATCAGGGTGGATATATCGAAGAAGAAAACTCTTTCCCCAAAAAGAGAATATCATAGTACCGAATAAATTGTATTTTTAGTCGAAAACGAAAAAAATAAAATAATTAAATTGAATTTAACTGTGTTGATGTTTCATATGCATGTTGTTCAAGTTCTCGGTTATGGATAACACGATTAATCAACTTTCTATTTTCAACAATTGTTTGATTATTTGTAAAAAATTTAAACAAAAGCATAATTTGTAAGTAATTATAAAACTAATCAAACGCATGTGAAAACATTTTTTTTTTTTTTTTGCTGAAATTTGGCGCATGTGAAAACGTTAACAAGGCGTAATTAGCAAAGAGACGTTAATTGCTCGTACTATAGAGATTCTGTCACATGCATATCATATTTTCAATTAATAAATTATTTCACACATAGCAGTATAGGCACATAGATTAAAATAGTTAGGCATAGATGTGTTATATAGCTCGGCAGCACCAATCATATATCGCCAGAAATGCTCCAGCTTAACTACATTACCTACTAGTTTTGAATGGCTCAGTAAACAAGAGGTTTGGTAATATTTCCATTTTGTTTTGATCGGTGTTTACTGGTATCTTAGTTTCTCCTTGTTGTTTGCTTCTATTGTATCATCTTGTACTTTTTTAATCTAACCAGTGTTATAAAAAAAAAAGATGTGTTATATAGCTAAATGTAAAAACAAGAGAAGAGACACATTTGATGATTAAGATAGTTTTGTGTTAGAAACACTAGGTGGTAGATATAGTTTAGCTAGTTTATCTATTGTGCTTTAATATGTAAAATGTTTAAAGAAGTTTTGTTGTTTTATAATATGATAAATGTTTTTAAATTTAACTTTCCAAATACTGTGCAATCGATTGTTTTCATATATAAATCACATTAAGTAATTATATTATTTACTTTTGCTTATTTATCAGTTTTTCTTTTATGTCTTTTGCTTATTTATCAGTTTTTCGTTTGTCTTTTGCTTATTTATCAATTTTCTTTTCGCATCTACCCACTCTAACATGTGTTTATTACATATGGAGGAAACCAGAAAAATGATGAGCCCCAAAGAAAGTACACAATAGTCGAGGCTGGATCTTATCATGGGATCCAAAACATAGGATTCACTGTGCACATATAGATAGATCCTCAAAGGCCAAAATGCAAGACATGAACTACACGGTCTCTCCTTTTAATTCTTTTCATCACTTTAAAATTAATTAAACTTTGGTAACTAGTCGCTCTGTTCCTAAAAGATCCATATTCTAGTTTTTTCACACTTTTTAATAAAACACAATAAATTTACGTAGTTTTTTGTATTTATCTTCTTTCCATAAGTTTAAACCAATCAAAAATCAATTACTGCAATTAAGTTTTTTGAAGTTTACAATTATTTAATAAAACATACATTGAAAATGTAAAAAATAGATCTTTTAGAAACAAATTTTTTTTCTAGAATATGTATCTTTAAGGAACGGAGAGAGTATTAATTTAGATATTTTACAGCGGTATAATTAAATATTTTATGTTAGTTCTTAGTGGAAATTAAATTTGTAATGATTGTTTAAAATTTCAAATTCAATGGTTATTGGTTAATGGATTCTAACATTCTACTAAAATCAAGTTCCAAATTAAAAAAAAAAAAATTCAAAGTGTTCCTGATTTGATGATTGATTAATGAAATATATTTTTTTTTGTTATCCAAAAAGTCTGGATTTTAACAATTCCAACAAAATTTAGTGTTATTGAAACTCAAATTATTTACAATTTAACTTAGGAAACAAAACTTTCAAAATATTGCATATGTTATAAGATTTTAAAATTATTCTAGTAAAAAATAATTTTATATTTTTTTTAACTATGAATTTTTTTAGGACTCTACAAATTTAACAATTCTGTTGATTTTTAAAATAAACCAACTCTGACAAGTTATAATACCGAGCAGTAAAAAAATTAATATATAGTAAAACATAAGATGTGATTAGTAACTCTTACTGAAATATATTGATTTTATTGTGACTAGTCAGTGACAAGGTATGTTAAAACGATACAAAACAGAAGTACAAAACTTATACAAGCCATTTGTAGATGGTCACATTATCATACTCCCAACTGGTATTGTCAACAACAACAAAAATTGATACAAATTTCAAATGTTATTTTTATAATATAAACTCAAATGTTACAAACAATTTAAGTTCTTTTAAGGCAACAAAGAGAAGACAACAACAAAAATGTGGTGGATCTAAGCTAACACAGGTACAAGTAATGGTACAAACTCTTTCTCACTGCTTTCACCTGCACAATAAGTCAGACACAAAAACTGCTTTATTAAACAGAACAGTTCCTGAAACACAAAAATCTCTGTATCCTACGCTGACAATATGGTAAGCAAATGAATGAATCCTAACATTATGGCCAATTCAAGTAACCAGAATGAGAAGAACAAGCAGGAGACAGTAAGTACCTGTTGGATGATAGGTGTGTCTGGAACTGGAGATATAATCCATGAACATGATCATAAACTCTCTTTCTGCTACATGATGAAAAATTGAATCAAAGCTATCGGTTATGTTCAATGTGTATAGGATATGGAACATGGAATAACAATCTCTCCGTCTGTTAATTATCACCAAATGACATCGACTGGCTTAACACGGTTCTGATGCGGATCTGCAACCAAAACAGGAATGAAACATAGTTTGAGTATCTGAAACAAAGATAGTAAGCAATGAAACTGCTTTACTTCTTTTATGAACCTTAACATCGAGGCAGGCATCATTGACCATGTTCTTCAACTGTGGAATGATACCCTCATTACGCAACTTCACATGCCGATCAAGTGCACCTGGACTTGAAGGACTAATTAGGTTAATGACTGTCCAGACTGTTGCTGACCGTAACTGGCTCTCATGGCTCTGCAAAAACTTAAGCATGAAGTTGTTTGACTCAGCTTGTGGTTGAGGAAACAGTTGCTGCATAACCGCTTCTTTATGCAACTCGGTGCCACTCGCTACATTTGTGAGCACATACATTCCCTGTGTAATGAAAAAACATGTATGTCAGTGATCTCTTAAACCTATTGATATGGTAAACTTTTTCATTTTTTAGTCACCTGTATTGCCATCTGAGCTTGTGGAGCTTTTCTCAATTGCCTTGCAACAGAATCTAAGATAAGACCATCTTCATCAAATACAAACTCAATGGAGTTGATACATCCGTCAACAAGATTACGTAGGAGGGCCAAAGCTTGCTCTTGAACCGTGGGTTCAGGATCTGAAGAGAAAGGGTTTTGTTTGTTGTTACTTGGAGTATAAGATGAATCGTATGATTATGGTTTAGAGGACTCTGCTTACCACTTATAAGAGAAGCAAATCCTTGAGCCTTGACGTCTGAATAGAACAGCTCTTTACGTTTGTTGTCTGCAAGGAACATGAGGTTCCTCAAAGCTCGTAAAGCGCTACAACGAGCGTTTGGATCCATTGATTTTGACAACTCGATAAGCTGTTTTATCCCTCCATACTCTATGAATGTTGACTTAGGTGATGAAAAATCCAATACTATATTGCTCAGAGCACCAAGAACTGCAACCTGGTTAGCCATATATACATTCAGATCGGTTCTCACATTTGCATCTAAGTCAAACAAAATGATAATTTAATTTAGTGAGGTACCTGGACAGCGGAAGATGGATCATGCAATAACTGAACCAAAGGAAGCATAACATGATCGGTGGTGAAACGTCCTGCACTCAGATTCTAAATGACATGTCTCAGTGGGGGCTTACCACTTGATGCAAAGCAGCTGAAAGAACTAATAACATTCGCAATGGATGATGCTAACAAACCTTGACTGATCGAGCTGCGTTCTTGAAGCAAATACACGCTGCAGTTCTTACATCAGCGTTTTTGTGTCTAAGCGCATTAACAAGCAGATCCAACACCTAGTAGAAGGAAACACAGACAAAACAGATTCATTACAGCATAAGAAAACTGATTAAACAATTCAGTAAAAATGGCAATGTGGAGACGAACCTCCAATGACAGGAAGCTACACCTGCAATCCTCAAGCTTCGAACACAACTCAGCTAGCGACAAAAACAAAC